TTTCTTATTATGAAGCTTGAATCTAATAAGCCATATGGATCCTGCAACAGAAATGGGCAACAAGCCCCTAAGTTAGTAACAAATCCAAACAGGCAAACAATTTTAAAGAACAAAAACACTGCACATCAATATCTAAATCCCTTTGTCCATTCTGGGCTCATAGAAGGGGTTCCTAGGAGAGAATGTTCTGTTAGATTTAGGGTAACCAAAAGGAGAACAATTAGAACAAATGGACAAACAAACAGACATACAAGACGAGACAAGCTGCAGCAAAAATGGCCTTTGCCCAAAAATTAGTCAAATTTTGGGATCTGGAGGAATTAACAAATTAACCAACAGAGTGGTTCCTCACCCGGTGCAGAGTCACAAATGGCAAAAACCAATTGACTCTGTCCTCAGGAGGTTTCACTTCCCAAATTAAGGGCGTCCCCTTCCAAACGGAGCTGTTCCCCACCCAGGGCAGAGTCACAAATGGACAGAATTTGTCCTACAAACCAACTGACTCTGTCCTCGGGTGGTTCCCGCTCCCAAATTGAGGGCGTCCCCTCAAAATTACAAATTGACCGCGGCCCAAACAAATCCTCCAGAGCACTTACTTTCAAATGTTTAGAAATGAGTCTGGGGTCTTGCTTCCATCCCGGACGAGCCCCCAAATGTTATAACTTGAGCCCCGGTATAAAATCCAAGGAGGCAAGAGGCCGAAAATTTAGTGGCAAAGGCTTTATTTTCAGGCCTGGCGACCAGTCTCCGGGAGCCAATTTGGAGACTGTCCCCTAGAAGCTGTAGGGAGGACTTTAAAAAGGGGCTGGAGGAAAGGGCGGGGGGAGAGAAACAAAGAAACCTGTAGAGCCATCAAACTTGTTGACCCGAGTCTGGAAACTGTATTGCTGTCTATTTAGCTCTGACAATCTAGGGAGTTTCTGGTGTTTTTTAAGAATTATTTTTATCCTGCAGACTGACATTATCTCAGAGTGGCACGTCTGCAGCAATATTTGGAGAAGAAAGTGGACAGTTAATTATCTCAGGACAGCTTGTCTTCGCTAGTGAGTGCGAAGGGGTCACAAGTTATGAGACGCTGGAACTTAAGTTTTACGAAGACCTGATATCTAACTCATTTGATATATACAGAACAAAAGGAAAGCACCGATTGGGGTTTGGGCCATAGTATTACCCGGTAATTTGTTTTAAGCTAAGCAGTTCTTAAAATTGGGGCAGGCTCATTTTACAACAGATCATCACCGGGTCAGGGGGAGGTCACCAGAAACCCAAATTCTTTATGGCCTAGATAGATAGGTGAGGGGAGAGGGAGGCAATAAGGCGCCATACAGAACAGAAAACGGCGGTAATGTGTCAAGGTCAGGGTAAAGGGTTAAACTCACACGCAAATCTCTCTGCACACAAGCAGGTTACTTTAAACAAATGTAAATTAATTGCCATTCTAGTTTTCCTTAGCTCTTTAGCGGAGAATAGAGGCTCCTAGCAGTGATTAACAACCCTTGTTAGCTTGTTTTAGCACAGCTTCTGTAGTTTGTAGAGAGCAACAATGGTTAACATATCAATTAGGTGAGATTTTTGCAATTCTTTACAGAGGAGAGTGTTGCTCAACAGATCAATTAGGTCCCTTAACATATCAGTTAGGGAAAAAGGATAAAACAAACACATTTAGTAAGCCCCTATACAGGTTTGCTATAATACACATATAACAAAGCTATTTTCTTAGGGTACAACACCTGTCATATTGTTGTTTAGACTATTTATGTTAACAGTAGCATTGTATGAATTTTTCTTAATACCTTATTAACTCTATATTTTAATTTAACTTTTAATTACTTTCAAGTTACTTGGATATTTTAGTTTCTTTATTCAATAGTTATTGTAAATGCAAATATTGAGTTCAGTCATCCAAGTATTTTAATCCTCTTTCTAGTTTTCCTCGCAATCCAAAAGGTTATATTTATAAACCCATTAAGACATTATTGGAATCCTAGCAAGTTAATTCCAATGTACCACCACTAATCCAACCCACCATGAGAGTAAAGATATCAAGGCATGTTCCAAGTTAAGGACCACCAAGGGGTTCTAAATCCAATCCTCCTGAGGACATGTGGACAAAGACCTGGATCCTGAGCCTCTCCCAGCATTTATTATCTTGTGAAGAAAGAGAGGGTGGCTCAGGGATGAGTGTTAGTGAGGATGTCAGGAATTACTCAGTAACTTGAGCTGGCTGGCCAGGTGCAAGAATGGCATCTCTGTAATTTGTAAAGATAAGGATATGCAAAAGGATCTATTTACATAACCCAATTAACATAGCAGTGAAACTGTTTTGGGGGGCTATCACTTTTGATTTCTGATATGCAAATACTTTTTAATTTTATTTAAAGAGAAAAAAGAAATAAAAAAGCAAAGCAGTAACAGGGTACAAATAATACAGAATTTCAATAAAACATTACAGTGAGAAATCACTAGTTAATAGGTTACACATTGTCATCTTAGAAACATATGTCCAAATTATAAAATTAAAACATATAAAGTGGCCATTCATACAGTGAGATTGCAGACAGATCCATTCAATGATTCAACAAAAGCTCAGTAATATGGTTTTCCATACTACACACTCAAACATACATGCAGTTATATCTCTTAGACCACCTTCCTTTCCTCTCTTTTTTACACTAACAATTACACTTTTTATGCAAACTCTTGAGCCCTGGGGAATCATAGCCTCTTATCTTGAGGCTCACACCCAGTTGACATTTCCAGAGCTATTTGCTCTAGTCTCCCATGCTCAATTCTGTATTGTGGAGAACACTATACAAGAAAACAGGACTGTATGATGGCTATAGATTTTGCACATTAACATCTTGGCTAGCCTTATTTGCAGTGCTCAGAGCCAAGTGAAGAGAGAAGAAAATACTCTAGCCAGCCTTTTCCATATCAGTATAAGGAAATGAATCTATAAGTAATCAAAGTCACAGTAATTATTTTGGATTCAAAGGGAGTCACTGGAATTGTCTCCCACAAATAGTGAGATCAAACACCTTAATTTTCTCTCATTAGTTAGAAAAAATTTTCAGTGATGAAAATCAAGAAAAGAAAGTTTATTTACCTCAGATTTTGTAGAAGTTTCAGTCCATAATTGTCTAGAATTAAAGCCGTGTGGTACAGCAAAGAGGCCACGGTTATAGCAACAGAAGTCAGCAAAACAATAGGAGCAAATATGAGCAGAGAAAAAAATCTCTTTTCCTCCCTTATGTTGTAAGCATGCTACCCTCCCAAAAGAAGGTGTATCACTAACACCATCTTTGTGCCCTACTCTTACACAAGCTGAGGCTGTTTACTAAGTGAGGACCCTAGCCACCTACTGAGTTAGGTAGCTAATTTTTTTTTTTTTGTCTTTTTCCTTTTTATTGGTACCGGGGATAGAACCTAAGACTGCCTGCGTGCAAGGCAGGCATTTATGCCACTGAGCTAAATCCCCAGCACCCTAAACTTCTAATCTTTTCAAGTTGGGTCAGGGATATGACTCAGTGGTGAAACACCTGCCTGACAAGCCCGAGGTCCTTAGTTTGATTCCCATTCCTAGGAATAAATAAACTTCTCAAGTTGTCACAATGAATCAACCACTACAACATCCTAAGGCATAAATAGTTGAGTTGGGGCATGTCCTCTACCTCCGAGGGTGTAGGACTGCTGAATTATTCAGTGAAAGCTCTGGACTTCTCAAGTTGACAAAATATAACAACCATTACACACCTCTTATATCTATCAATTTTATATTTGTTTTTTGTTGGTTGTCTTCCATTTTTATTTTCCCTTCTTTACTTCTGGGTTATTTGTACATTTTAACTTGGAATCTTACACATATAATAGATTTTAAACTTAATAAAATTTATGTTATTTCTATTAGTATTAAATTTGTATCTGTTTTATGTATTGTACCTATCAACAACTCTCCTCTCATGATGTCACTTTGTATATGATGTTATATACCACAAAAATTCACATTATTATAATATAGTCATTTAAGCACATTTAAAATTTTTCTGTGCTATAAAAGAAATGAGAAGTGTTCTCCAAAGCAATTATTTCAAATGTATTTTTTTCTTCATCTGCCAGTCTTTTCCCAGTAGTAAATATTACAATATATTTTAATATTTTAAATAAATTTGGTCAATATTGAATTTGTGTTGGTTTACATCAGTATTTTATAGCATCTCATAAAGTAGGCTCTCTGTGTATTTTCAAGAAAAGACAGAAACAATTAAAAAAGATTCTAAGATACTGACCTGAGTACAAAATTACAAATGGCATAATATTGTGCAAATAATTTGAGGGTCATAGAAACTTTGGATCTTAAAAATAAAACAGAACTTACAGAAAGGGGTGGTACAGGAAGTGAAAACAGAAATGTAAAACACAATCTCTGAAAAGAAATTTCATGTACTTATATAAATTAGATATACATTTCTTTCAATTTTTTATGTCTTCCAAAATTTATAACACTTTTTGCCAGTACTACAGCAGCAGAATTATCTGAATAATTTTGAAGTGAAGCATTGTTAATTATTTTGTCTATAAAAATAAAGTGAAATCTGCTACACTGGTAATTTTTTTGCAAATTCAGCTTAACCAAGAAATTTTATCAAAGTTCCTCTTTATTACTTTCCTTATTGCCACTAATTGCTCCCCCAATTAATAGATTAAAAAAATACAAACATCTGCCCATTTATACCAAAAGCTAAAACTGTAAAAAAAATTAATTCCCATGTAACAATGTGCATGAAAACAAAACAAGAAATAGAATAAAATGATTAGTATCTTTAAGAGCATTTGTCAGAATTTCTTTAGACTGGAACTACTTTATTTGGTACTCTGATTCATGGAATTATATTTATTCTTATGTGTAATTATATATTATTTTTATTATTATTGTGATTAGTGTTGTGTGAAATGAATTTGGTAGTGTGAACACAGTGTTAATTTCCATTGTCCTTTCACAGTGAAACACACTGGAATCAGTAGCACTAAAACAACTGAACCTGGATAGAGAAGTCACTGAAGATTTTTATGTTCTCTGCACATACAGTTCCTATGTTACCTCTAGAAGAAAACTGAAATGGCTTTTGACTTTCTTAATAATCCACAGAAAAACTTGTAAAGTAAGCTGATAATTTGATTTCTTTCATATATGACTCCAGTAACTATACATGTATTTACACATATTCTGTTGATGTAACAAATGTATTACCAATTTTTTCAAAAAATTATTTTTGGAATAATTTTGAAATAAAACATTTTGTTTGCTTTGAACATGTATTATAGTTTAGTTTTGCATGCTTAATAGGACATCTGTATAGTGTGCATTTTTTCTATAAGATTATTTAAAATATTAATGAAGTTTAGAAATTGGACATTTAGATGATAAATTTCAATAAATTGCTCTTACTTGAAATGTTTAAATAAGATATGGAGATGAGATGTTCAGCTCATTATAATTCTGTAGATAAAAAATGATATTGAAATGCAGATCAAAATGATCTTTGGCTTACTACCAACACTAGTAATTGTTAGGTCTGAGAGAAGAAGGGGGTGGAAGAAGAGGAGAAAGAGGGGAAAGAGGTCTGTGGGAGGAGTGGAGTGGATGGCCATGAAAGTAGTGGGCGGCGGTGGCTTTATTTTGGGAATGTGGGGAGAGGCCCCCCGCCAGCCCCGGGCGCAGCCTCTCCACTGCACCCGGGGCCATGGTTATTCCGGGAACACGGGGAGAGGAGACTGGTGCACTGGCCGCTGGAATTTGGTGATCTCTCTCTGACACGTGGTGTGGGGGAATATAAATAGCCTAAGCTTAGGGCAGTGCCCTAAGGCCATTAGAGATGCACAGGTATTTCATTGGCGCCAGGGTTACAGGGATGGGGGTATAGGGTTACAGATAAATCTATAGAGGGCGGGGGAGGCAGGAGCCCCATAACTTGGCTGCCACTTTTCCTGGTTAAAGTGTCTGGTCTGGGCCAGCAACTCTTTCAGTAATGTTATGAGACTGTTATTTGGTTGGGGTTTTCTCAATCTTTGTTTTTGTGAAACAGCTAGGTGATATTTTACCCATATAAAAATCACTTTCACAATTTGACAAAGATAAATAACCAGGTACCCTTTTTAAAGCAGAAAAATAAATGCAAGGCCATTCAGTAAATGAAGGAAAAAAAAAACCAAGACTGTAAGTAAGTAATTGGTGAGGCAGAACACAATGTTTCATTTCTTTCTTTTTTCTATTTCAAGAGAAAAAAAATAGAAAAAAAGGATATAAATAATACAGAATTTCAAAAAAATAAACAGTAAGAAATCAGTATTTGACAAGTTATATATTCTCATCTTAGAAATAGTTGTTAAAGTTACAAAATTAAAGCATACAAAGTGATATTCAAATGACACTGCAAACAGTTCTGCTCAATGATCCAACAAAAACTTAGTAATATGGTTATCAGTCCTACACACTTGTTTTTTATCTTAAAGAGGGTAAGATTAAACACAACAAAACATAACAAAACAGTTCATAAAAAACAATTTAAAGAAACAAAAATTTCAAAGCAAGTCCACTGGAGATCTTCACTGTACATTATATGAAATGAGAGAACTCCGAATTTGTCCCACAGTATTACCAATTAATTTATATAAGAAAAATATATGATATTTTACTAATGACAAATGTTCTTCTAATGTTTATAAAAGCATGCTTTGAGTCCATAATTGTAAGATTTAGTTTTAAGATTATTTTGCCACCTTGCTCCTATTAAGAACATTTCTACTCCTCGTTAAAATTTATAGCATTAAAAAATCTTCATTTTGCATCAATAATTAATATTTTAAGAGAAATATCAACATTAATTGTTTTTTTAAGAATATTGGCAATACTGTTGCACTGTGCTGCTGATCTATCTCCTCAGCCCCTTCACTTGTTCTTTTTTTAAAGACTTCCATTTTGACACATAAACATAGACACAAATTTTTTTATCAATTTTCATATGGTTGCTGAACTAATTCTCATTAACCGTCTCTGACTTTCAAGTAATGTTGAAGTTTGTGGAACACAGGACAGAAATATATCCACACATGTATATGTTATATATAGATTGAAATATATACATGTGCACAGACACATATTCACATACACACAACTATAGACACACAAGTCATGGCATTCAACTGCCTAGGTAACTACAACGTAGGACAATGAGATATGTTTTTTAGTCCTTTAATTATCCAATGGAAAACAATGCTGTGGCCTGCCAGTTTCTTTTCCGTAAAACAAATCTGTTCATAATCTGAAATTAACATAGTTTTATGAAAATATTTAAATAATTATGAAATGAAATTGGACACAACCTGATAATGAAAGGCAGTATACTAAGTGATGTATTTTGATGTTGCTTTCAAAGGTTTCAGACGGTAATTGTAATGATATAAGGTGTGATGCTAGTACCTATTGTAGTAGAGTTATTGCTCTTGTCTGAAAATGTTGAATGGCCCTTGAAAGAATTATGATTACATTGTATATTATTAGCAAAAAAGCATATTTTAGCACTAATAAATTTTTAAGAGTAAGGGATATGCCATTTTACATGATCATATACTTGCTTCTGAATAATTTAAAGTAGATCTGCATATTAAAATGCCACCACAGTAATAGTGCAGGTTACAAAGCATCTTTCTACATACTTACTCTTGTTATCATATACACCCCCCCACTTGCTACCAAATATATTATCACACCAAGTATGAAAGTGGAGTTGTAATGCAAATAGCTTTCCCAGTTGCTCATTTTATTTAATACCATTGTGCCCATTTACTTGTGAGCAACTTAGTAATTACAAAGCACAATTCACATGTATCATGAAAGAATCTTTTATTGTTTATTATTATTCACTGTTTCTGGACTAAGTGATGTAATTTTGATTTACATAATGCTATCTTTGTTTTCTTGTATTTCCTTTACCGTGAAAAATCTCAGTACCTGGGTTGTGATTTCCCTTATTAAAAATCATGGTTACAAGTGTTTTGTAGTGGTGACAGTCACAGTCAATTAAAGCAAAACTGATCTGCTGTTATTCATAGAAATAATGAAGATATGAAAAAGACTTACAAATTTCATTTCTGTATTCTTTCTGTGAGATTTTTACAAGTGAGACAACTCCTGAATTATGGAAATAAAACTGTAGAATAAGACCTATAAACTTGATCATCTTTTACTCCACAAATGACTACAGAAACAAAATTTCATTATTATCTAAGGAACAGAAAAACATAGATATATTAGCTGCAATGGGTAGTGTATTAATGGTCATCCTCAAGATCATTATACATGTTTCACTTACTAGCTATTGATTCCTCTAATTAAATAGTATTCTCTTCCAAAAAGCTTGTGAAAAGTCAGAACACAATTTTAAATTAAAGCTAGCTTTACAAACTGATATTTTATTTATTTTTTATTATTAAAAAATAAAAATAAAAGAAAGGAGATTAAGATAAAAGAGGACATAACAACATAAAAACACAGGTAAGAACAGAACAATTTAAGCAACACAGTGTTTCACTACAAGGTAACCCAACATAACAGTAGCTACCATAGTGTCCCTTTCCTTGAAATATTTGAGTATAAATTCATATATTATAGCATCAAACACAACATGACAGTGTAAAACCATTCAAGAGAATGAAAATATTACAGCGTATTTAGAAGCAACTAACAGAAAATGAACAATGGTTTCTATATTTTCTCCTTGTCTATAAAAATTTTGTTTGTACTATCACATAAAACAAAATCCAATAAGATACAACATGATAAACTGATGGAGATGGAAGAACAAATGCTTCATGGGACTTCAAAATAAGATGATATTATATCACCACTACCTATTATAATGACTTGTTTTGTTAAAAATAACTGTTCATAACATTAAAGCCAATACAATCAAACAACCCAGAATAGAACTATTCCAATTAATGAAAACATTGTAAGACTTCAAAGCAATATAATGGGGAATCATGTTTACCGCATACTTTTATGTATTCTTACCATTTTACACTAGGGAAACTATTTGGTATTTATACATGTGAATTTGAATTATTTTGCTTATGTGTATGGTCTCAAGCTGTGTCCATTTATTTATAAATATCTCAATGTGATTATTCTTTATAGCTGAGAGTACTCCATTGTATAAAAATATCAGAAATTTTTTTTTATACATTCCACAGTTAATGGACACTTAGGTTGTTTCCAAGATCTGGCGATTACCAATTGTGCTGCTATAAACATAGGTGCACATATATCACTGTGGTATGATATCTTCAGTTTTTCTGGGAATATGCCTAGAAGTTGAAAAGCTGGAACAAATGGGACTTCCAACCCCAGCTTTTTGAGAAATCTTCAGACTCACCTCCGCAATGGTTGCACAAGTTTTCACTCCCACCAACAGTGCAGGAGAGTTTCTTTTTCCCCACAGCCTCTCCAGCATTTGTTGTTGGTAGTTTTCTTGACCCTAGCCATTCTTCCAGGAATGAGATGGAATCTCAGTGTGGTTTTAATTTGCATTTCTCTAATGAGTAATGATGATGAACATTTTTTGATGTTACTTATTTGCCATTTGCATTTCTTCACCTGAGAAGTGTGTATTCATCTCAAATGCCCATTTTCGGATTAGATCTTTGAATTTTGTGGGTCTGTTTTTTTTTTTTTTTTTTACTTCTTTATATGATTTAGACAGAAGTCCTTTGTCTGTGGGACAGTTCACTAAGATCTTTTCCCAGTTTGTCGGTTTTGTTTTCACTATGCTGAAGATTTCTTTTGACGTGCAGAAACATTTTAAGAAGAGGTGATCCCAGTTATTGATTCTGGGAAGTATTTCCCGTGCAGTTGGAGTCCTGTTCATGAATGCTCTACCTACCCCTATGTCTTCAAGGTTTTTATGAGATTTGTCTTTCAATAGATTTAGTGTTTCTCTTTTAATATTCAGATCTTTGATCTATATAGATTTTAATTTAGTATATGGTGATCAGCATGGGTCTAGTTTTACTTTTCAGCATGTGGAGAGCCAGGTTTTCCTACACAATTTATTAAAGATGTTGTCATTCTTCCAGTGAACATGTTTGGCCCCTTTATCAAAGATAAGGTGGTTGAGTGTGTTTGTAGTTGTGGTTG